AAAATATATGTATATATATATTTTTAAAAAGGTCAAGGCCCCAGATCACCATACCTCACCTCACAAACCTATACCACATTTCCATTCACTGGTTTCTGTAATTTGAATGGATTATCTGGAGAAGATGAACTAGCAGTCAGCATCATGAGAACCTTTGATTTTAAAAAGGAATTGATAGGAGAGCAGGATTGGGAAAGGGATTGACTGATCACGTGCAGTTCAGAGGACAGGAAGGATGTGCTCAGTGCCCAGGGCTGGGGGCGTAGGGGAAGCCCTGAGGAGCATGAGACAGTGCCTGCACCTGTACCTGTGCTGTGACTGCTGGTCCCCTGAGGCCAGGCTGGGCCAATGCAGTGGAGCACACCTGCATCCTCAGCAGGACCTTAGAGGAATTAGTACTGAAACTGCTTCAGCTCTCTGAGATCATCAGCTCTGGGTGTACATGTCCTTCTTTTTACTGCATTAGTTGCAAATAAAATTAAATGCTTTCCAGCAGAAGGAACAACCCCCTCAAAAAAGAAGAAGCACAAAGAAGTAGGTCCTGCTACACCTGCACCCACCACAAGCAAGGCTCTCACATCTGAAGGAGCAGAGATGACGCCTGAACCTCAGGTAAGATTGAGGAAGGGGAACAGGTTTCAAGTCCCACAGAGGAAACTCTGCTGAGCTCTTCCACTCAAGCTCTCCATCAGACAGTGATGGCTTCATGAGTTTCCCATCTGGTTTCAGATTCAGCAAATTGCCTAGTAATTGATCATCTTCTTTATTGCAAGATAATAAGGGAAAAACTGTAGTATACACAATGTAAATATATATAACCTAAATATATCATCCCTCACAGTAGGAGGAGTGGTAATTTGAGAATCAGATAGGAAAATGCTTTGCTTGTGCTCATAAAATCTTAGTTTTTCTACTTTCAAGTCAGCACGTCCCTCGCAGAGGAAATTAGAGAAATGAAATGATTTACATAACTTCCTCCTCTTCCTTAGTTTAAAGAAACCATATAATACTGACCAGAGATGGACAGAATTGCCTCAAGTTTCCATGAAACACATTGATAGGTATGATAAGACAACTTCCCAGGAATGAAAATGTGCTCTACTTCATTTGATATTGAAAGGGAATAACAGGAAAATCAAACTACTTTCAGAAAAGAAAAAACACAGCCAAAGGAAAGGATGGGACCAAAAGGAGTAAGGTGTCTAAGGAGCAGACTCAGCCTCCCTGTCCTGCAGGAGCCGGCACGTCCGCAGCCGTGGGCCATCCCCCACCTCCCCAGACGTCATCAGCTCCATCCAATGCTTCCCCAACTCAGGTACCCTCTTCCTGGTCCCCCTTTCTTCAATTTCTTCTATTAAAAATACAGAAATCTTATCTCGACTTCTACTTAAAAATTACATAAATAGTAAGTTAATCAAATGTATATATGGAGAATTCACTACATTTTAAGCTTTTGCTTCCACGAGGATATTGATGAACTGACATTATCTTTGAGTGCAGAATATTTTCTGTCCTTCATAGTGCTCTCTGTGGTAGAAACTTCCTTCTTTCTCTGCTACTGTTTATGACAACTGAAATTAAGAGATGTTTATCTTTCCTGCCTTACTCTGAGTTCCAAGATTAGGACTCCATTGTCTGTCTATGGACCAGTGTATCGCAGAGCCTAGATCAGTGTCTCCCTCATAGGAAGCTCTCAGTAAATACATTTACTCAATGAAAAAGTGAAAACTAAGTCCAAAGATATGAATCAAAATAGCTAATGAGAGAACAAATAAGGATCATTTGACCCAAGAGACGTAATTTGTATTGCGAGGCCCAAAGTTTCAGAGACAAAAGGTAGTGATGGAATACGGAGTGGAGCTGAGGAGTTTAGAAAAATGTAGGCTGAAGGACCACCGTATACCATGATGTGGAAATGAAAGGAAATAACTGTGATTTAGAATTTCATGTTTCTGAGAAGACTTATGAAGTTGTCTTCTTGTCACATTTGGAAAGGCCAGCCTTTGCTATATGCACACATCAGGGAGTGTCTAATAACTAATTGAAACTCCAATGAGCTTTATT